AGTGGCAGCGAAATATGCAGCGATGGAGTAGCTGGCTTAGTGCGCACCTATCGGATTAGAAAAGAGGCTCAACTATTTCGCAGTTTGACGCGCCTAGAAACGAATGAGTTCCAGTCCACAATAAAAGGGCGAGAAGAAAGAGTAAACAGTAAGAAGTTTACTGAAGGCAGCAGGTCAAAGACACACGGCGGTACAAAAGAGAGAGAGGGAGACAACGAAGGAGCCGTTTTCAGCACGAAAGTCAAATGTGGACAGTAGCAAAGAAAAACGCGCTTATAGAACTACCCCTAACTCGGCGTCCCCTGGATTGTATGGTACATGGAGGACATTATCTTTCGGGATGGTCAAACTGACGCCACAGCTACAGTAATATTTGGTCAAGCCTACTCAGGTTTACAATGTTGATTATCTACGTATGGGCATGACAGATGCTCATTCCTAGTCATCAATCGAAGAAACCAATAGCCTGCCACGCTTCCGGGTGACGGCCATAAAAGCATCATTTCCTTGATATCGCATGACGCGCTTCCCCTTTTTAAATCTAGTTAAAAACACTCCATTAAGTGTTTAGATAGAGAAGGGAAAGGCGTTTAGATCACCGGAATCATGATTTTACTCGTCTGAGTTCCTAAGCTCTTTCTGGAGGCCACTGTCAGAGATGGAAGGTTTCAACGAAAGATAAGCAACATTTATACGAGAACGGGGCCAATTAACCGTTATAGGGGGGAGGGCAATCAACCAGCAGTGCCATCAACCCGGAGATGCCTGCGCAGGACGATGAATGCCGGCGCCAGATCGGTAAATCGATTGACTGAGTTCTCATCAGAGGCCCAGGCTTCAATAAATTCTCGGCCTATCTTGTCGCCGGCGTGCGCGATTATCCTCGCAGCTGCGACCGGTCTCGTAGGCGCTTGCCTACCATAGAGCAGCAAAAACTATGAGGGTGTTACAACACTGGCCTGTTTTCGTATGTGTAGTTAAGACTTACTAATCCTTCGCGTTTCAAAATGAAAAGTGCGACACGAACCAGCTAGAGCTGCAAATCATCAGTGCCAGTCCAACGAGAGAATAGCTAGTTTAGTGCGCATC